CTTGCACATTTTTGAACCCCGAAAGTAGTACCTCGTCCATGCTTGTCGTTAGAATTATCACTATCTCAGAGAAAGCGTCTGAACATGAAATGAATACGTAGCATGCCTTTAAGTGAAATTAGCGTCTATGAATTCTTACTTGGGTCCAAAGCGCGCAAATTGTGGTCTCGAAATGTGTTCTTGAGCGAAAATAGGGCATTCTGTTCATACTGGCCACGTTCGTACTTTTTGAGTGTGGGGAATCCGCGATTTGGTTGAAATCTCGTTCCAACTAAAACCGCGACGCCGCGACAAAGAATTTATTGGGACATTCTCAGAGAATGCGCGATTCACTAGTGAGCGGAGTCTGTCTATTCCGAATGAGTTCTTGTCGTCGATATTGCGCAATTCGGCTGGGGGGGGGGGACATTTTCACTTTCGCTGGTTCCCGTATCGAGACATCAATTGGAAATTTGTAAAATTTTCTGAAGCCTTGAAATGATACCGGTCAAAGTTTGTAGGAACTACTTGTCGGACCTTATAAAGCGATGAACACGGCAGCGGGAAGCAACAAAAGTACAAAATGCCCCTTCCTAGCCGAAGTGCGCCGTCGATTCTCCAGAAGCGCGCGTGCTCGGGAATCGCGCATTCTCCAAAATCACGGATCATCATGCACGGCGGATTCTCTCCCTTAATAAGGTAGTAATGCAGCCTCACTTAAGAGCAAAATGAAATCTCTAAAATTTTAGAAACGATTGGGCCTAATGTCAGATTTGTCTAACAGTCTAGAAAAGCAAGAAATGCCCTTCCAATAATTCCTTCAAAAAGCAGGAAAAGTTGGTGTTTTTATAGTGGTATTACGTTTTCGTTTTCTGCAAGGGGTTGAGTGAGAAATGAGGAAGGAACCATGTGGATGTTTTTGAAAAAGGGCGATTGAAAGCAGTGAAATAAGTATGAGCCTTTGTTCTGCTGTAGTGCTGCAATTTCGTCTGTGGGTATTGGCACTCCCATTTTATATCCCACACATGGAGAAGGCGTGGCCGCGCAACTTTATTTGAACTAGGCAATCGCGGCTGGCTGCGCTTTCTGTTAAGTATAGCCGTTTTGGTGTCGATGTAATCACATCTTTGTCCACAACAAGGTTAGAAGAATTGTTGTCTTTAATTCGAATATTCCACAAACAGTGCAGCCATAGCCATTCTCAAATGGAGTACGCAGCCACGCCCTCCCCTTCTCCGAGAGATAGATCGACTTACAGCAATCGATTTTTAAGGTTGTTCGCATGAAATATACAGACCAAAGGACCGAAGACTGTAAAAGCGTTTCAAAAAGTAATAAAAGCGGATTTCTTCAATATATCACGATACAGTTTGAGCGATTTTCTATATAATTGTAATATGAGTTAATAAAACTGTAAATGTGGGTGTAATAAAAGTATGTTAATCATTGGTTACGGTAAGCCCAAACTCCACTCAAAGTGATCTTCGCGTGAAACGAGAGTCTTCCACTCTTCCCTTCATTCCACATTTGTGGGGTAAAACTTTTTGGATTAGCTTCGGTACATGGCAGCGAAGCTAGACGGTAGTGACAGCTTGATTTCCCGGATGTCTGGTGCAGTTCGTGGGAAGTGGGTGCTTTTAACGATTTGTCTTCACATCTCCAGTTTGCGGTTGTGTTGCTGTGCCGTAATTGATTAGCGAGTTTCCGCATCAGCCTTCCTTCAACGATCTCATAGTTGACCTTCCCAAGTCGCTTTGCGACAACTCCTTGCTTCCATGTGAAGCGTGGGGCTTTCCACATCTGCGCGTACACGTCATCTCCCTTTTTGAATTCCTTCGACATTTTACCGTTCTCTATCGTATTGTTGCCTTCATCTTCCTTCGATTTTCTTCGGCGTACAACCATGCCGATGATTTAGTTCTGTCCTCAAGACATCTGTGTGGGGTGGTTCGGTGTGCTTGCCGTATAACATTGAACGTATCCTCTGACAGTTTCTCTTCCCCTTTGAGGTTTCTGATTCCTCTCTTCAACGTTTTCTTCAACTCTTCTTTACGTCTGGGGTTGCAGTTGGCCTTCACTTCAGCCATCATTTCTATGTGGTACATCAAATTCTCATTTGCTCGAATCCATTCGAGACCCAAGAGTGAGCTATGCGGCGTCACATAGGCTTCTCCTTCAGTATTGACACCTTTCATGGTAATCTTGCATTTAAGCTTTCCATATATTTTCATTGTATCTCCACTTGCATTTTTCACGACTATATTGGTCTTTTCCAAAAACTGGCCGGCTGGGAGCCCATCTTCTTCCAAATCTTCTCGTTCAGTAACGTGATGTCTGATCCAGTATCGAGAAGGAATTTGACAGAGTAGTTGTTCACTACAGCGTCGATGTACACACGGGAAGAGTTGGCTTGAACTGCTGCATTTGCGATCTTGACGATTCGTACTTGCTTTCTCGGACCTCTATTGTTTCTGTTCCTCGAGAACTTCTCTTTAGTATGCTGAGTTTTCTGCGTCGCCTCTGTGCGACTCGCAGTCTTCTTTTGTCGTAAAGTGTCACAAAACCTTTCCTTGTGACCGACCTTCCTGCACTTCTTGCAGAACCAAGGTTTCGCTTGGCATCCACTAGCACGATGGTTGCCTTCACAGTTCCAACATTCTATTTCCTTCCGCTTCTGGACGGACGTGGCTTCCACTAGTTTCATAGTTCCGGCGACAACTTCACTGTCTCTCTTAAGGCTTAAGAAGTTTTCGCACTCCTGATGCAATTGTTGCAGTGAGACCGTTTTGCCTGCTTTGTGGTCTCTATCCAGTACTGTGATCAGCCTCTGCCTGATCTCTGCCTCCTGCTGTGACTTTCAATCCGAAAATCCACAGCAAGCATTTGATTCCGTCCGAGTCTAGCTCGTGAATCTTTGCTCTCTCGCAAAATTCATTCACACGACCGGTATACGTGAGGAAGTCTTCTGATTGGCTCTTCTCTAGCTTGAGACATTGATATCTCGTGGTGAACAATGACGACTTGAAATCAAACAGTTTGTGCTTTGAGTATGTCCACCGTCTCGGTGAACCCGATTTCCGTCACATCTCTTGGCAGCACATGTCTCTGGTACTTCTCGAAAGATACGGGATCCAATTTTTCGCAGAGCAATCTGACTTTGCTACTTTCAGAAAGCTGCTTTGCGTCTTCGTTGAACACATCCTTGTATCTTGAAAACCATTTGGAGAAAATCATGTCGGCATCCGGGTCGAACACAAACTTTTCGATGCGGTTGCTCAACGCTGCCATCAAGTTTGGGAGTGCTATGTGCTCCGTCGTATTGCAATCTCCCTGTCCGCGTTCTGGAATGCGATCTAGCAGTTTGGCGATAACATTCTTCTGTTCTTCCATCATTTCCCTGAACATTGTCAAGATGGTGGTCACGTCCATTTTATCACAGTGTCGATGTGCGCTTGTCGGTGAGGCTGGCTGTAGCTTCTGTTCGATAAACTTGTGCTTGCTGGCACGGTGTGTTATCCGATCCTGACCACGTGCCTTACAATCCAACTGTGCAGGTAACAAGGAAAACCGACTTCTATCAGAGCAAGAGTAAAGACTTATCTGCTCGGTCCTCGTCCGGTTCTCGCTGAGAATGTGATAGATCGGATAGAATAGATACAAGCGAGCAGTATACGGCTAGTATAGTGCACAGTCGAATAAAAGGGATACTGCACGAAGAGTCCTTGATTCTTCTTCGTAGCACTATAGACACTGGTTCTTCTGCTGTGACCAGAAATCTTGTCTTGCTCTGATCCTGGTCCTGGGATTCTTCTGTCCTTCTTCTTCTTCTTCTGAGGAATCCTGGTTTCGTCGCTTGAGTGTTGGATCCTGATCGCCACTGTTGGATCCCTTGACTTCTGTGTTGTCTCTGGGAGTGTCGAAATAGACGATACGCACAGAAAGTTTATCTGGCGAGTAGACCACACAAAAACTAACTCAACCCTACCGCTCACCTCTCTTAAATACGCTCTCAAAAGAGGTGCGCAGTATCACACTTTATCAGAGTTCATTCCTCTATACAACACATCTACACATGGTGCTGTTCTTCATTTCTAGCCTTTGTCATCTTCATCACCTTCTATTCGGATTTTGAAGCATGAGCAACACTTCAAATGTTATTCGCATCAGGAAATTTCATTTTGCTTGTATTAAACTGACGCGTGGAACGCTTAGGCCGTTTTCATTTTTATATTTTGTGAGAATGCGAAGCGGCCTCCGAAGGATACTGCAGAAGCAGCACAGTTGCTCTTGCGTTCTGGCCCTCGTCATCATCTTCGGTCTGGTTTTTTGCAGAGGGCCTAAAAATGTTATCCGTATCAGAAAGTTTCGTTTTACTGTGTATGTCCAAGCGGCAAATTACAGGATCGCGCTAATAAGCAAGAGAAGCTCGCGCCGACGCGCTGCGCCGCGAAACGGCTGTCAGTATAAACGGTGGGGCGAGCATGGAGGAATCAGCGTGTGTCACGGTCCTGTATCTCCATTCTTGCACATGTTAGGACGAGGAAACCGCTACGCTTCGACAGCTGGGGGCTGATAGTCAACACAAACCCAAACCATGTTGATTCGTACCCATGTGGGTCTTTAAAGACAGCGGTCGCGGGTCAACAAGGTGCCGGAAGATCCTTTTACAAGCAAAGATGGCGGAGGTTGTTGGCACAGGCGGATAACCCTTTTTCGGCGTCTCAAAGCGCTTGAATCAAAGCACGACAGTTCAGGCAACGATAAGCTGACTCCGCCTATGAGGGCGGAGTCAACAAGTTCCACCTCAATCATTTTTTCATTACCAAGATTCGTTAGCGGTGATAATTGCTAATCTTATCGAGTATGCCTCGGAGAATGAGCCGCAACATGTGGCGATTAGATACAGAGAGCTCGCTCATAATTTAATTAACTCGTCCATTTTCAATCTCGTACATGAGTCTTTTTTAGGGCATTTTCAAGGTTTTCTTTTAATATTTTTCTTTGTTAGTAGTGTACTTACAACATGATCTAATGGTTTAGAGCTCTACAACCGCGAGGCGGATCGCGGGCGCTGCCTTTAAGGGCACCCACTTCCGTTGCGAACTGCACCAAAACCGGGAAATCAAGCTGTCACTACCGTCTAGCTTCGCTGCCATGTACCGAAGCTAATCCAAAAAGTTTTACCCCACAAATGTGGAATGAAGGGAAGAGTGGAAGACTCTCGTTTCACGCGAAGATCACTTTGAGTGGAGTTTGGGCTTACCGTAACCAATGATTAACATACTTTTATTACACCCACATTTACAGTTTTATTAACTCATATTACAATTATATAGAAAATCGCTCAAACTGTATCGTGATATATTGAAGAAATCCGCTTTTATTACTTTTTGAAACGCTTTTACAGTCTTCGGTCCTTTGGTCTGTATATTTCATGCGAACAACCTTAAAAATCGATTGCTGTAAGTCGATCTATCTCTCGGAGAAGGGGAGGGCGTGGCTGCGTACTCCATTTGAGAATGGCTATGGCTGCACTGTTTGTGGAATATTCGAATTAAAGACAATAATTCTTCCACCTTGTTGTGGACAAAGATGTGATCACATCGACACCAAAACGGCTATACTTAACAGAAAGCGCAGCCAGCCGCGATAGCCATGTTCAAATAAAGTGCGCGGCCACGCCTTTTCCATTTATGGGATATAAAATGGGAGTGCCGGTGCCCACAGACGAAATTGCAGCACTACAGCAGAACAAAGGCTCATACTTATTTCACTTCTTTCAATCGCCCTTTTTCAAAAACATCCACATGGATCCTTCCTCACTTCTCACACAACTCCTTGCGGAAAACGAAAACGTAATACCACTATAAAAACACCAACTTTTCCTGGCTTTTGAAGGATTATTGGAGGGGCATTTCTTGCTTTTCTAGACTGTTAGACAAATCTGACATTAGGCCCAATCGTTTCTAAAATTTTAGAGATTTCATTTTGCTCTTAAGTGAGGCTGCATTACTACCTTATTAAGGGAGAGAATCCGCCGTGCATGATGATCCGTGATTTTGGAGAATGCGCGATTCCCGAGCACGCGCGCTTCTGGAGAATCGACGGCGCACTTCGGCTAGGAAGGGGCATTTTGTACTTTTGTTGCTTCCCGCTGCCGTGTTCATCGCTTTATAAGGTCCGACAAGTAGTTCCTACAAACTTTGACCGGTATCATTTCAAGGCTTCAGAAAATTTTACAAATTTCCAATTGATGTCTCGATACGGGAACCAGCGAAAGTGAAAATGTCCCCCCCCCGGTCGAATTGCGCAGTATCGACGACAAGAACTCATTCGGAATAGACAGACTCCGCTCACTAGTGGCACGCATTCTCTGAGAATGTCCCAATAAATTCTTTGTCGCGGCGTCGCGGTTTTAGTTGGAACGAGATTTCAACCAAATCGCGGATTCCCCACACTCAAAAGTACGAACGTGGCCAGTATGAACAGAATGCCCTATTTTCGCTCAAGAACACATTTCGAGACCACAATTTGCGCGCTTTGGGACCAAGTAAGAATTCATAGACGCTAATTTCACTTAAAGGCATGCTACGTATTCATTTCATGTTCAGACGCTTTCTCTGAGATAGTGATAATTCTAACGACAAGCATGGACGAGGTACTACTTTCGGGGTTCAAAAATGTGCAAGGAAAGCGAGACCCGCTCGCGATGAAGAAGCGACTCCGCCCTTTGACCGCCCAACTTCCATTTTTAAATGCTTCTCGATGGCACGGTTGTTCCACACTAGCTCTCGCAGAAAAATCTCTTTGACAGCGTTCAGACTTCGCGTGTCGACCGCAGACGGAATCTGGGCGCCAATTAGTGCTTTGAAAGAATATGGTAACTACATTTCTTGCGTAGTCACGCAGGCTGGTATCGAGGCTTCACAGCAGTGTCGCAATTGTAGCGCATCGTCGCGCGTTTTTGGGAAGTCTGAGCAGTGCCGGCTTATGACAGCGCCCTCGCCACTCACTGTGGAGACGAGCAAGTGCGACAACCTCTCAGGAGGCGTACTGGACTATGCTGAAGAGAAAGATTCTATCAACCGGGAGTTCGTGGTTGTAGTGTCTTTAGGCGGGAAACGGGAAGATTCGTCATTTTCATAAAAATGTGCAAGTGTAAAATCTTTGCCCACCAGGAACTCGTTTCGGCCAACAAGAGATTGGGTCATCATGGATCTGAACCACTGAAATTGACAACGTCAGACCGTTGCAGCTATGAACGCTGCGACTATTCCACGCTTTCCAACAATTTCAAGTAATTTTTAGCAATTTTTAAAAATAAAAAGCACTACAAGAGAAGAGATTGGTGGGAACCATAAAGATATTCAAAAAACCTACCCCTCCCACTCGGCGGTTCCAAAGGTACTGACATGGAATTTCCGAGTTGTCGGAACAGATTTATCTTATCACGAACAATGCCTTGCTCACGGATGAAAGCCACGGACGGACGAAATCGGAGGTTTCGACCAAATGAAGCATCCTGAACAAATATTCCGAACTAAAAACAAGACGTGAAAACTTTAAACTTATTCGACTATGGGAGGGCATTTTCTACTTTCGCTAGTTCCTTCTGTTGGTTTCCGCCAATTGGCAGGTCTCACTTTAGTCCGCCTATAATGATAACCTTTCGCGAAGCAGTTTTGATCAATCTTTCGCGATACC